AAAGCAATTGAAAAATATTTTCCCCTTGATGGAAGAAAATATTGTCTTTGGGAAATATTTTCCTACCACTTATGTTACCGAGAAAATATCCCCCCCCCCCAAAACTAAACGCACCATAAATAAAATTGATTTCCCTTTGTGTTTTTCAAGGCACAACTAAAGGTTAAAAGGAAAAACAATTTCATTACCTATTGTTTTCCCATTCTCTACGAATTCCCAGGTTCCAAACATAACCTATAAGTTATTTCCACTTCATAGAAAATATTTGAGGGACATGAGTTGATGTAATGGTAAACCTGTACAGCGGACAGCTACACCAGTGGGGAGATGTGTGATGCGTACGGCTGTTTCAACCTTGTTAACATTTTGACCTCCTTTCCCACCTGCTCTAGTGAAACTGATTTCCAAGTCTTCGGCTGGTATTTCAACATCTCTTAAGTCCTCAGGGAGAAGAGGCATGACCTCAACACCGGAGAAGCTTGTCTGCAAATAAAAGCTTTCAGAGGAGAGAGAGAGAGAGAGAGAATCCCAACGCGAACCCCCTTCACATACAAGGTGAAAATAAAAAAGCATTGCAGAAAAGAAGGGACTCGGGGAGAGAAGCTAAATTAAATTCCATAAACTTGTGGCTGTTACCCAAAATCTGTAAAAGGAGGATAAGGGCAAGAGTGGAAGTCGGATCTGTACAAAGAGAGACAGAGACAAATAGAAAGAGAGATAAAAAGAGAGGGGTGAATACAATGAGGGATAGTTCAGGGCGTAAGATTGGCCATGAGATATCCAGCAATGTGCATATGCTACTATAGCAATGCTAAACTTGGAATACATGAAATGTTTTAATGATTACCTGTGACTGGTTTTAATGCACGATAAGATGAAAGTGTGAGGTTTTGAATTGACACAGAAACTAAGGATGGCCTCCCTCCGTCCTACAAAACAGTCCTGTTTCAAGAACTATTTTGTCCCAAAACAATGTCGTGCAAGAGCTAAGAGTTCAGTTTCAAAAGTCAACTTTCATTTTTACTCAAAATTCCGGATCAAACAGTTTTAGTCAATTTATCCAAACAATCTCTCAACTAAGTTTCAGGAGTATAAGTGACCATTCAATCACACATAGCTCGTAAAAGCTTGTAACTTGATTGAGTATACTAAAAATATAAAGTTATACCTCCTTACTCAAATAGGACTCTGTTTTGGGACGGAGGGAGTATATTTGCTTTACCACGTTATAATTGTAGTTCCAGGAATGTGCAGGGTACTGGTTCATAAAGGTCTCAAACACAACACTGTAACATCTAAATCAACAAAAAGTACAGATTTAATACATATTATGGTCACCTGGCGTAGGCCTTTAGCATTGAAAGGGGATTGTCGCACAATACGGTGGGTTCCTTTCTCTCCAGACAAATAACCATATGCATATCGACCCTCAAATTCGATAGTGGCTGACTTAATCCCAGCCTCCTCCCCAGGTGATTGCTCGACTACTTTTGTTTTGTAGCGTTGCTTCTCTCCCCATCTCACATACATTCTGAGAAGCATCTCGGCCCAATCCTGCACTGGAATTCATCAAAAAATTCACAAACTGACACAAGAAATATCTCACGAAGAATGGAATAGGAGGAGAATCCGACAGGTACTCGCTTGCTTATAAACATCCCAAGGTGTATGAATAATATATACATTTCAAAGGGATTTTCTTTGTTAATGCCTCCCCAGCTTGTAAATTCCTCCTAGCTTTCAGGAGCCCATGGTTAAACAGTTAGATGATAAGTTATCATTGGTAAAGATATAGGATATCTTAGTTTTTTTTCTTAAAGTAAGCTAATCAACATAATATCAAGATCATTCTCTCTCTCTCTCTCTCTCTCTCTCTACGTTAATCAGTTCCTCTTTTTTCGATCCTCTTGTTGCTTTCTTCATTTTAGCTTCTTGCTAGCTTCATCAAGTTCTTGATGAATTCATACTCAAATCAACAGTTATGAAGAAATGTATACACATCTCTCAAAAAGATTCAGTTTCATAATGAGTTTCCTTGTTTCATAATGATATACTCCCTTGGTCCGAATTTATCAGGCATGTTATCGTGTTTGGTATGTCCCAATTTATCATGCATGTTTCTATTTATAGAAATAATTGTGGTTCATAGTGTTTGTTTCTCATCCACATAAACCTCAACCAACAATTTTCACTTTATTAATCTTTGGACAAATCAAAGTAGGAACAATAAAATGGGATGGAAGATCTAGTATTTCACAAGTATCTTAGTTGTACATTTGCAGGTACCACATGTTCAAGTATGATGGGCAAGCAAACTTTTATTGCTTTTACACTATAGTTGAAAAGCATAAACGGAATACGTGGAAGGACACACACACACAGTAGAGTTTCTTTTCATTCAGTGGTATCATTATTATGTTAATTTAATTGCCTTTAATGCTCTAGCTTTATTAAACTTCATTATTTTAACATTTCCCACTATGACTTTAGTAAATTTTATAACTCCCTATACCGACCACTTAAATTACAAGTAAATATCTATTTTAAAATTTTGAAAGTTGTTTTTATAAATTTTTTATTTATATACTTGGTAAATTCTAGAATACTACTTCATCCGTCCCAAACATCCCCGAAATAAAAGACAAAATTACTATTCATAAGATCAAATTAAATCTTGATTCTTTACATATTAAGTTAACCAAATAATGCAGCCTGTCACCTCTTATTTTGAAGAACTTTTAATGTAGTTTTTAAATATATAATTTTTTTCTGCACTAATTTTAAATTAAACAACAAAAACCAAGTCTTATCCCACTAGAAGGTCCTCTGCGCCCTATCAAGTACCATATTTGGAACGAGATCATTCACGAGAAGGTCCTCTTTGACCACTTTGTACCAAGTCTTTTTAGGTTTACCTCTTCCTCTAGCCACATGTCTAATCACCATTTGATCAACCCTTTTTCACCAAATGCTCTGTGGGTCTTCTCTCTACATGTCCAAACCACCTTAGACGGGCTTCTCCACTGTTCCACCATCTTCTCTATAATAGGTGTAACTCCAATTTTAGCTCTCATACCTACATTCCTTATTCTATTCATATGCATATGACCACTCATGCATCGAAACATCTTCATTTCGGCTACACTAACCTTGTGTAAACGGATAATATCCGTTACGGATATGGCATATCCGAATCCGAATCCGTTTAAGTTTAGGAATATCCGAATCCGTATCCGGCGGATATTTACTATACTATATCCGAATCCGTATCCGACGGATAATTATCAGTTTCGGATATATCCGAATCTGATTAGATATCCGAAAGTAACCGAATATCCGAATCCAATTAGATATCCGAAAGTAACCGAATCTGAAAATATCCGAGTCCATTAAAAAATCTAATTAGATATCCAAATCTATTTATAAATAAATTAAACACAGTCCAAAACTGTAATTGAAGTCCATAATACATTAATACCAAAAAAAACTTTAGGATACAAAAAAACAATAGTCAATATTTTACCAAATATCTAATAATACGAACAAAAATATAAATATCTAATCAATAAAGTACAAATCGTATTTAATACATCTCAAAATTCTCTCAAGAAGATAATCTTTGATGCATCCAAAATTGCAAGCTATTTCACTTGCTTCATACTTCAAAACCCACAATATACCAAACCTGTTAACATGTTTTGAAGTAGGTTTTTTCCTTTTTTTTCTTAAAAATTTCTTTGTGGGCTTTTTCTTTTTTTACATAATAGGGTAACATATTGGGAATTAACAAATAAATTAGTAATGGTAAACTATGTAAATACTTGGTACTAGGATTATATTTATTCAAAAAATTATTCGGTATTCGGATAAACGGATATTGATAAACGGTTGGGGTAATGTTGTTGTATATCTCTTAAAAGCCTGTTACACCATGTCTCCTTTATATTCCCGATATCAAATAGGCGGAAGTCAATTTCTTTTTTAAAGCATCCAGGATCGATCGACTCTCTCATCTATCTGCGCATCTTGCCATCTCTTTGCGCACTGCGCATCTTGCCACCTCTCTTCATCCTCGCGGCTCTCCCCGTCGCTTTCCCTCATCATCTTCTCTTCCTCTCTTTTCTTTATTCATCTTTTTTTCACAAATTTTACAATATTTTTTTTTAAATTGTTTGAATCCAAAATAGTTGATTCAATTTTTTGACTAATTTTATGGAAACTTGTTGAATCGGTGAGAATATTCAAAAAAACAAATTCTAGAGAAAATTTTGTCTGGACCCGTGCATTGCACCTAGACTTACAACTGAATCTTGTTTTGAACCCTGAAAAATGTTTGGTCAAAATTTTTCGGGAAAAGATATGTCAATACTGCATTTTAGCAAACATTTTTCCATCACAATTCTTTGAAGACTGTTTTTAACGAAAAAATTTCACAGAGTCAAATTTTTTCCCCATCTTTTCTAATTGTTCTGCACTTAACAAATTGTTCTCTATTTAACACTTTTTTAACAAATTGTTTAGTGTTTAATATTTTTTTAACTTGTTCTATAACAAAATGTTTTGTGTTTAACTTGTGCTGCATTTATTGTTTTACAAATTGTTCTGCATTTAACTTTTAAATCTATAATAAAATATTATTCAAGACTTACATTTGATTTCTCAATTGCTCACCAAACAGTTGTGACAGTAGTCTGATTTCATTTACGTTTACTCCAAACACTTTTCTTTCAGATTTCAAAACTCATATCATTTATTCCAGATTTCAGAACCCATATCTTGTCATATCTCCAAAACTCATCAAACGGGTCCTTAGTTAGCCACCCAATGCCTTTTCCTCCTAAACCTTCCCAAACCTCAAAATAAGTACAGTCAACCGCCATGAAATGTCTTTTATTTTGGAATAGAGGTAGAAATAATCTTTTAGATATCTCTTATTACTTCATAGCAATTTGAAATTTAGTGATACTTTATATCACTAAGATAAATAGTTTGTGAAATTAACTTTTGTTATGGTTATTTGTTTCAATTACATTTTAATATTATCCTTTTATTTTTCATCACTAAATAGATGTAAGTACTCGGAGTATATTTTTAAATAATAGGCATATTCAAGAAAGCACTTTTCGACTTAGATCAGTCGGTCGGATCGATCAGACTTTAAAAAATATAGATTATAAATCAGAGAAAGAAATTTAGTAAAATAGTACGAGTAAAATCATAAGTTTAATTTATTAAGGCTTGCTTGATATCTTTTTTAACGTTTTGTTAAATAAAATAAAGAATGGAATTGAAAATAAAAAGTTAACTAGTTCAGTTAAATATTGAGATATCTTTTATTCTACCATAAGAAGATTATCATATCTAAATATCTAATAGATATACAAAATATTCATATAGCATATATCATATGTATTTCAAAAAAGTTAAAACTTAAGATGTATACGAGCCTGTGCAAAGCACGGTTTAAAACTAGTAAATATTAGAATCCAATAAGAAGAGAACCTGTGACCCTTCCATAATATCATAGTACTCTGTATTATTTTCTTACCTGTGCATCAGTGCCCCCTGCACCAGCTGTAACTGTAACAACAGCACCTTCTTTATCATAAGGACCGGAGAGAAGCTGAGTCAACTCAAATTTATCCAATGCTTTGTTCAATTCCTTAAGAATGCCAACAGCTTCATCAAGAAGACTTGTATCAATGGATTCCATCTCCTCAGTAAGCTTAACTATCATTTCTGCATCACCAACCTGCAAATACGAAGACGAAAAAACCCAATTTAACATGATCTTTGAGTTCCACTTCACAAGTCAAGCTACGAAAATACTTCGTACTATTCAAGTTCATCAGAAAAAGTAAGGCCACATACACAAATAAAAATAGATAGTGAGACAGTCAGACATAAAAAGAAATACATACAGTAAGATTGAGACATTTAATACTGCTATCTAAAAAAAAGTTCCACTATAGCATCATAGATAGGTCAAGTCTTGAACGATATCCGATATGCTTACCAACTAATCATATCAACCACCTTGCTACTAGAGTACTACTACCAGATAACTTCTGGTGTCACTCTGTGAAGCAGGTCAAGACTGAAAACCCAAAAACGTTAAATGTGTCAATAATTACTTTTTTTAAAAGCCAATGCATAAAGTAAATGTTGTCAATAATATACTTCTATTTTTAAATAAATGCAACATCAAGGTTTTCATGTTTGCCATTGCATAAAGTAAATCATTAATATCTTTAATAGTGTTTTGGTAAAAATTATAAAAAGTTAATGTTATGAAAATTAATATTGAGACGAATCTAACATGATCCAACTTGACTATAATTCTCTTTATGTATACAGTATACATCACAAAAGAAAATCAAATGTGAATGAGTGTGTATTTGGTGAGTGAAACCGATATAGGTTTGGATATCTCAGATATAGAATTTCTAGAATTAATGTACGGTGAGCAAAAAAAGGGTCCAGCTTTCATAGGTGGAGATATGTGAATTCCCTTTTTAAGGAGCATTTTGTTATGGACTGAAACCATTGCAAGGTATGGGACTTGTCCCACATCGGTTGTATGGGCAATTGATGTGGGGTTTATAGACCAAATGGGTTCCCTCACCTATCAGACTAGTCTTTTGGGTTGAGTTCTTCCGTTTGGTCTGTAACAGTGGTATCAGAGCCAACCTCGGAGTGGTGGCCTGACCGTGACCAACGAGGACGTTGGTCCTTAAGGAGGGGCGAATGTTATGGACTGAAACCATTGCAAGGTATGGGACTTGTCCCACATCGGTTGTATGGGCAATTGATGTGGGGTTTATAGGCCAAATGGGTTCCCTCACCTATCAGACTAGTCTTTTGGGTTGAGTTCTTCCGTTTGGTCTGTAACACATTTTTTATATTCGGCTTAACTCACCAATTTCGTTATTGATAGCGGCAATTTCACTCTCCCATTTAGAGCTTGTTCTCTTCAATTTATTCTTATTACTTACTCCCTCCGTCCCAAAAAGTTTTGCACTTTATGCAAAACGAAGCAAAGCTTTAAGTTTTTTTAATCAATTTTATTTAAAGATTGGTATAGAAATTAAAAATAAAACTCATATATTTAAAAACTACATTAAAGATTATACAGAACAATAGGTGATAAGAATATATTTTTTTTTTCAGATAATCAATCAAAACTAATTTTAATCATAACTAATTTTGGGCAATTGAAACTAAAAACTACATGCATCTAACTCTGGCACAATTGGGATTAAGGTGGATGGTGGATGATGATGCCGATCTAAGCAGAGTGTGAATCTCTTGGCCGTATCATCATACTATGGTTTGCATTTGGTAAGTGAAAGTGCTTCAGTACTTCTTCCTTACTCTCATAGCATCCTATCTGCTTTCCTTGTGCTTCCTTTAGAAAGAGCTATCGTCCCTTGTCGTAAGAAACTCAATAGGAGATTACGGCTAATGTCTTGGAAATTGAGTGTATCCTACTTTATGTACTAAACTAATAGGTTCTTCATCAATTCCAATGACACTAAATTTGATGTCTTGGATGTTTAAGTGCAAAGATTTTTGCACCACGGATTAGCACTGACCATATCTAAGTATTCTTCTTCCATTCTTGAGATGTGAGTAGACCTGGCAATCGGGTCAATCGGTTCGGTTCCAGTTCGGGTTTTTTCGGCCCGGGTCTCATTCGGATATATGTTATAATCGGTTCGGGTCAGTTTGGTTCCGGGTTTATTTTGGTTTGTCTGGTTTTCAGTTTCGGTTCAGTTTCAGTTCGGGTTTGTATCGGTTCGGGTTTGTATCGGATCGGGTTTATATCAGTTCGGGTTTGTATCGGTTCGGGTTTGTATCGATTCGAGTTTATATTGATTCGGGTTTGTATCGATTTAGGTTTATATTAGTTCAGATATATTTTAAATATTTACTAATAAATCAATAATATCACATAATAAATTTAATCAATTTATGATATACTCCGTAGTTATTTTATTATTTAACACGGACGTACATAAAATTTAATCAATTTCGGGTCTAATTGGTTCCGGGTTTAACCAGGTTCGGGTTTTATTGGTTCGGGTTAAATCGGATTCGGATCTGAATCGGGTCTAATTGCATTCAGTTCGGGTTCGGTTCGAATCATTTCGGGTGTTCAGTTCTATTTCGGGTCTTCAGTTTTCGGGTCAAATTGGGTTCGGTTCGGGTTCGGGTCAGTTTTGCCAGGTCTAGCTGTGAGCAACCCTATGTTTTGGGCAGAAACAGTGCAGCAACTGATTGAGCCAATCAATGCTGCTAATCTCAAATATATTTCCACTACAACATCCTAGATAGGTCCGGCCTTGAACCAGATAAGCCAATGTAATCCTATAGTTCACCCGATATGCCTACCAACCATTTGATATCAACCACATCTGCTACTAGAGTACTGCTACTAGATAACTTCTGGTGTTACTGTGTGAAGCAGATTAAGACTGAAAACCCCAAAACATTAAATGTTGTCACAAATATTTTTTTAATTTTGAAGATAAAAATGTTCTAAACATAATTCTGTGGAGTGCGTGATTCCATGTTTTAGATGTCGAATAGGTGCAAGAGAGAAACAGAAAACACCTGGGAAACTGTGTTACACACAAAGTTAAGCATATTCCTCTACTGTAAAGTGTTTAAACACGGATTTTCATAACAAAAGAAGTGGACAGAGAAAGATCGAAGAAGAACAGGATATTCATTTTCCATAACGTGTTCATGTTGATTTTACAGTAGCAATCCGCAATGTGATATTGGTGATGGCAAGTGAAAAGATCCTATGATGATGAAAATCTTGGAATTTCATTATTCCTTGTTGAGAAGGTTGTGACATGGTGAGCACCCACTGTACCACTTACTATGCTTCTGCATGATTTAAATGTTAGCTAATTCTTAGCAACTAAAACTACAAACTACATGCATCTAACCCTGACATAATTAGATTGGTAGAAAATGAAAGAGTTTACGAATTAAAAAACCTGTGATCCAGACTAGAATAAGGATATGATGAGGATAGTGCTGGCGCTAGAGTGAATACTTCTCCTTCCTTACTCCCCTAGCATCCTATATGTCTTCCTTGTGCTTCCTTCGGTACCAGCTTTTCTCCCTCATACTCGTAATAAGAAAGTCCATAGGATATTACGGCTAATACTTAGATGAATGACTTGGAAAATGGAAATTGAGTGTGCCTCACTTTATGTACCATACAACTATTTTCTTCAACCCCGAGGACACTACATTTGTTGGCTTGAATGTGTAAGTGCAAAGAATTTCACACCATGAAAAAGATAGAAATATCTAGCTATTCTTTTGCCATTGTTGAGCTGTGAGTATCCCACTGTTTTAGGAAGAAACAATGCAGCTACCTATCGTTCTCACTTCTCACTCAGTGTGAGGGGTGGCAGTACTTTAGTATGAATTGATAGACAGTAACTATGCAACACCCGATATGAAAACAGAAGAATGAGAACTGTGAACCTGTGTCATGAAACCATCAAGAAGTTTCAATTTCTCTTTGGCATCAGTCAGAGCCTGAAGCGTCTGTTGAGCTCTGGCAGGATCGTCCCAGAGAGAGCTATCTGCCGCTGCAGCTTCTAGAGCTGCAATGTCTTCTTCACGTTGCTGCAGCCCCACAGATGCCCTAATTTCTTCAACACGATGTGAGGTCAGCTCAACATCTTTTCTTAAAGCATAGAAATCTGTTATCCAACCATCAAAGCCTCTGAGATACTTCAACGAAACAAATAAAGTTCACAAAAGATAAAACAGATAAGTAGTTGAAAAGTTGGAACAAATAGCTACCTTGCATAGCCCATTCCCTAGTTATTCCATTGCTACCAATTGCTCCTTCCTCGTGCCTGGAAAACAACACGGTGCAGCCACCTGCAATAGAGCCACGTATGGCATTATTTCATGCTAATATGGATACAGTACACCCATGACAATATCAAAATTCAAATTGGAAGTAGCAGGTAGAAGAAAAGATTGAACAACCAAAAATGAATTGCTCGCTAAATGGAGGTTCTGTGTTAAGTATTCATGAAAGAGTTGCTCACTAAGTGCACTACCATTACACACCAAACAAAACTTATATGCTCACTGACCATAAAGAAATTGCTAACTAAATTGCAGTGTAAGTACAACAACCTTATGCATGTGGTTTTAAGATTGAATTTCCTCTCAATAAGACTTTCATTGGGACGCAGTGAACAATTCCAATCAAATACGGAAGATACTTACAGGAAGATGGAGATGAGATATTGGAATGGAGTGAAGCACTCGAAGAAAGCCCCAAATCGATGCTGAGTCCGGTGTGGAGTCTCTTTTGTGGATGGATCTGGAATTGGGAATGAATCGATCGTGTAGCGCTGATGGAAGATGTTTTCGCATGTGCAGTTCTAGAGAACGTGGCTCCTCTACAGTCACTGAGCGGAAGCAACATATGCGACGGTGCTAGGCGGTTGCGCACCACCGCAGTCTCCATTGCAGGCAGATGCTGAGAACTCAAGTCATTTTACTGAGGACATGCTACATTTGTAATGGATACTAGTATACTACTCCGTACAATCTTGATGTCGGGTAGTCCATCTTTTTTAAAATATACTCCCTCACTCCCTATTTGTACACTTTCATTTTTGCACATCATCCAATGCACTTCTTTAATTCATTTTATCTTCTAATTTGTATATTAAAAAATTATAAAAATTATATATTAATAATCTATATGTTAAGACAAATCAAACAAGATCACACATGACTATATTTAGGCTTACACTTGGAGAGAATTTGATAAGTCAAAGTGCTTGGATGAACAGTTCCAAAAGTCAAATGTGAACAAATACATGGGGACGGAGGGAGTACTCAGTTTGTCAGTCAAATATATTTTCTCTGTTAACTTTTTGTCATCTTCTTCTTAAAAATTATTATTAGGTACTCCAATTTTGTAAAAATAATTTTTAGGTTCATCTTTTTTAAAAATATATTCTGGGGTACCCTAAAATATTCAAAAACTTACTCTAGGAGATCTTTTTTCCTTTTATTATTATTATTATTATTATTATTATTATTATTATTATTATTTTTATTATTATTATTATTACTATTATTGTAATTACTATTACTATTACCATCACTACTACTACAACAACTACTACAACTACTACTACTACGAGTATTATTATTATTCTAGTGCGTATAGCGATAATCCAACGCAACTAAATAGGCAAAGCGGCAGCGAGTGACAGCTACTAAAGACAATGATGAAGTGAGTAATAATAATAATAATAATAATAATAATAATAATAATAATAATCACAATAATAATAATAATATAATAATGATAGTAATAGTCACACAGTAATAATACTTTAATAATAATAATAATGATGATACTAAAGGAAAAAAGGAAAATTTCTCCAAAGCAAGTTTTTGGATATGTTAGGGCATTCAGAATATATTTTTAAAAATGATGAGACCTAGAAGTTATTTCTACAAAATTGAGAATACCTAAGAGCAATTTTGGGAAGAAGATGATGAAACGAAAATGGAGAAAATGAATTTGACGGAGGGATGGACGGAATGTCTCCCGGAGATATTTTTCGGATGATTAAAGGTACCCCGGAATAAATTTTTAAAAAAGATGGGACCTGTGAGTTCTTATTGCAAAACCGAGGGTACCCCGCATCAAATTTCAGCTATGTGATTATGTTATTTTTTATTGTGCTTCATTGTGTGTCCCATCATTATTTTTTAGCTCCGCCTCAAATCATTTACTTCCTATGTCCTTAATTTCATTATAAATTGAGAATTACAAGGTAAAACTTCTTATCTTTTAAAATTATTTTATTTAGAGATTGGTACACCAACAAGAAATAGAAATTACAAATTAAAGAACTACATTGAAAATTCTACGAAATGAGAGGTGATAAAAATATTTTTTATCAATTATTCAATGAAAATATACAAATAACAAAAAGTTATCGAGAGGAGAGAAAAAAGATTGTGATATATTTCGGGACGGAGGGAGTATAATATTATTGGTCACTTATCCCAACTCAACTATGTGTTTCTTTTACATTATTTATCATTTTTAATCTAAAATTAATATTAAAACCAAAATACATATAACTAAAATGAAATGCTAACAAGGACATTCCTTTATAATAATCCTATGGAATAAAAAATAAATACACCAAAATAAAATTAAAATTTAAAAATACAATGAAAAATTAATGTTAGGATTAACTATTGTTGTGTCTCTAAAGTTTCTTCGGTCAAATCTTCCTGGAGGGTAGCATGGCATAATTATCCAGCGTGCATACTATCACACCAATTCGCAAATTCTTGTAAATCAGGAGGTAGCCCTTGAGTCGTTGGACCTCGAAGTACGAATACCCTAGAAGTGGATGTATCGTCATCATCTGCAAAATGAGTAACATTGGCTCCCTCGTCTTATTCGATTATCATGTTATGTAGTATAAATGATAATGCATATTGACTAATAATATATGAACGTCTTAGATAGTCGGCTCTCGCAAATATGTGTTATTGAAAGCTTTAGTGACACCCCGGTAAAAATGCTGCAAGCATTCTCGGTGAGTAGAATTGTCGATGTGAAGGTACGAACATGTCAGTGCAAGTGTTGTATGCAAGATGTGTATCACGATTGTGCACTTCTCTAGAGTGAATAGGCCCCACTGTCCAACACCTGTTCGGCCACTGTTGGAAATACAAATCACGAGCTGCAAGTGCATCCGTGCACAATGCGAATGAATAATACATGATGCATTAGGACACATCGACGCGACGGAACTAGTCATCGGGAAAATACGAGTCGTTTGAAAACTAAACTTCAAATAGACAGCGAGCAACATACTTACACTCCCGGTGAATGTACAACTAGCCACGTGGAACTAGAGGAGTAGGTGTCGGAGCTTAGCCTGTCCAGCAATTTCATTTTGGATCTCCATCTGAATTTGAAGCAACGCCTCATGCATGGTATGTCATAATTATCATATGTTAGAAATGATTGTACAGTTTACAATAGACGGGAAGAGGAACGGTCCCGGAAACTAAAAGAAATAAAATAATCCGAATTTATAATTTTATTCGGATTAAATACAATAAATAAAATAAAATTAGCTTCCAATCTTCAAAGGCCTTCTTTGACAATGAGGACTTTGTGCACTGAAAAGAAGCAGCGAACTGGGACGTAGAACTCGAGAATAAAATCTGCAAAGTAGAACACTGTAGAAAGGCAGCGGAGTCGCCGGAGCTGTCCTTAAGGTAATAGTGCCCGCCTACCGTACTGGAGAACGTGGGCACTTTCCTCCCATGATAAAACTGATATCGTGTGTAGTGGTTGTACGGACCGACTGCACACCAACGAACAAGAACAACGTCGGAGTATTGCTGACTAAAAAAAAATGTTGAAGAGGATGGCTTGAAACTTTGGCAAAAAACTAGAGCTTTTGCACTCACAAAGTTTTTTTTTCCTTTTTCCTTTCTTGTTCGTAAAACCCAAGGGGAAACAAAAAAAAACTTTTAATAACAAGGAGGCCATCTTCTCTCTTCTTGTGTGTACGTATATATCCAAAACCAAGAAGCATGAAAGGCCATTTAACATTTAATGCAATTAACATGTGCCTTCATTTTTTATAAGAATTGAAACGGATCAATTCTTTATCATGGGTATAATGACACTCATCAATAATCATAATGATTATATCAATTATGTACATTATTATCAACCGTTGGCATACACGTTAGTTTAAAATNTTCTACTCAACAGTTCATTTGAGAATCAATTTCTCATTCACCCTCTACCATTTTTGGCGTATAAATTATCAAAATATTTATCTCATTTAAGAGAACACACGTCCATTAATTAACGGTTAAAACCGTTAGTGGACCTATTGACAAATATACCCAAGTTGGTCCATTTAATGCCTACTAAAATGCCAAAAATTCCAACAATCCCCCACATGAATGAAAAATTGATTTGGGGGCCGACAACATCCCACGGTTGAAAACCTGTAAAGAACATGTAAGTGTCTCCACTTTTGAACATGTCCCTTGTAAAGTATACCTTCTTTACTGGCTGTTCAGTAGAACGCGATGTCTTTGAACTGTACTGCCGCTTGTGTAAACGATAGTATACCATTTTGGTCGTGGGACACGCGCCTGGTTCTGCGAGAGTGTTTAGAGGATTAAGCCCAAGATCCTCCGTTTGAAGCGACCACACTTCACTCTTACATAGGTGATTCTTTAAGAGTATCCCGATTACTCCACTTAGACCACCGTGTCTATTGTTTAAGAATCATTAAAGCATATTTATATGCTAACCTCATCATTTTCCAGAGTCACTGTCTTCAGCAGGAACAGAAGGGAGTGACCGGAGGTTCCGGTACCGCCCCCACAGTGATCATGCTTTATCCTACAAGTAGGTTGTCCCATTGAACCTGGGTACCAGCCAGGTTGGGTTTTTCTTCATAGGACTGTCCTAGCACAAGGGCTTCAAACCCATTCCTGCCACCAACTTCTCATGCAACTCATTTGTTAACCCTTTGGTTAGCGGATCCGCCAGATTATCCTTTGACTTCACATAGTCAATTGTGATAATCCCAGTTGTGAGAAGTTGTCTAATGGTTTTATGTCTACGACGAATATGTCTAGACTTACCATTATACATATTACTCTTTGCACGTCCTATTGCTGATTGACAATCACAATAGATGCAAACTGGTGGGACCGGTTTATCCCATCTTGGAATGTCCTCTAGAAAGTGGCGTAGCCATTCAGCTTCCTCACCACATTTGTCTAAAGCTATAAACTCAGACTCCATGGTGGACCTAGAAATCACAGTTTGCTTTGAGGATTTCCAAGATATTGCTGCACCCGCTAGCGTAAAGACATATCCACTTGTGGACTTCAAGTCTTTACTATCAGATATCCAATTCGCATCCGAGTATCCTTCCAGTACCGATGGATATCTCGAGTAGCATAATCCATAGTCACGTGTATACCGCAGGTATCTCATCACACGTACAATAGCCTTCCAGTGCTCATCACTCGGATTACTGGTGTATTTACTCAGCTTACTTATGGCACAGGCTAAATCTGGTCGAGTGCAACTCATTAGATATATCAAACTTCCAATAACTCTCGCATACTCAATTTGAGAGTTACTGGAACCTCGATTTTTAGCCAGGTGTACGTTAACGTCCAACGACGTCTTTGCTACTCTAACGTCATCCTTGTTGAACTTGTCAAGGATTTTATCAATATAATGGGATTGGCTCAGTGCTAGACCCCCAGGTCTTCTCACAATTTTAATTCCAAGTATTACTTCAGCCAGACCCATATCTTTCATGTCAAATCGCGAGTTTAATATGTCTTTGGTAGACTTGACCATCTTGTCATCGCTACCAACTATGAGTATGTCGTCTACATATAGACACAACATGACATACCCTTGGGATGTGTTTTTTAGATAAACACACTTGTCTGATTCATTAATTTTGAACCCAGAGTTCATCATTACCTGGTCAAACTTCTCATGCCATACTTTTGGCGCCTGTTTAAGACCATATAATGACTTAAC